GAGAAAATATTCCAATTTGAATTGGATGTCCAAACGGAATTCAGCAATTGAGTGACTTCCCTTTCAACTTCTAAATCAAGTAAATAATAATAATAATAATAATAATAATAATAATAACAACAACAACAACAACAACAGCAGCAGCAGCAGCAGCAGCAGCTTATATATCCTGTGACAATACCTTTAACACCATCAAACAAGAACATCTGCCTATCTCAGGTCCTTGGGAAGGACTTGATGGGTGGATAAAAATGCCAAATCAAGTCTAAACTTGACTGTGACTGTGCTGACTGTGCGACTAACTATAATACTACCACTACTAATAATATTACTAATACTAATAATAATAAGGTGGAGGAAGAGGAGGAAGAGGAGGAAGAGGGGGACTTCCCCAACTTTTCATAGTGATTCAAAGGCATTGCATTTGGCGTTAGAACTCAACTTTGGGATTCAGTTCAGAAGGTCAGTACAGTTGATGGCACGTAATCAACCAATCAGTTGGAGGTTCAATCACATTGCCTTCAAAGGGCATCTCTGAACTGAACTGAACTGAACTGACCTGAACATTTGGTTGCAAGTTCTTGCAACAGCTTTTACATACATTCAAAAAACAAGTGTCTAAAAAGTTCTTACCTTGTTCTTGCTTTGGGGCCAAGGGTTTGTGACCCAAGAGTGCTCCTAGGAGTCATTCCTAGCAGATATCGATATTTACTCAGCTCCCCATGGCTTGATTGCAGCAGATGTAAGATGCCTCTACTGACATTAAACTGCATCAGAGTTATTAAAGATTGGGGAGAACTCCTGGAAGAAGAATGCAGAAAAACAGCATTCTCTTTTCAGCTCATTATAACAATTAAATTATATGGAGAACTTTGATGCAGCTCAGTGCCAGATCTGTGAAAAATATGTTATGGAAGGGTATAGAATCTTTTAGGGATTCTATGGCTCAAAAAGAAATGGGAGAAAAAGAGTAGGATAAGAAATTGCATTTATATACGTCTGAATAAAATAAAAGAAGTTTGCATATTTCACCACTGCTGCAGAAAACCCAACTTATCAAGTTTTCTACAGAGGCCCCACATCTGGGCATCAGTAGAATTCATTCCTTTCAGGGAGAATTTTTCAACTCCCCAGGAACAGAGAAACCCAATTTTACTATTTCATTTTGTGATTTCATTTCATTCAAGGACGAACATCAGGCCCCTTTACCTTCCAGGACAGATTCAGATTTAAGGTGGTGCTGAGCAAAGTATTGTAGCCCTGGGCGGTTGAAAGAGGCTAAGTGAGTTTCCCACAATGCCTTTAAGTATTTTTATATGGGAAGACGGTAGGGAATTTACAATGGAAGCTTGGAAATGGTATCAGTGGTGGACAGAACAGCATGTAACTGCTTAAAGATGTCAGTGTCATCCCAGCCATGGAGTATAACATCCCCCAACTCCATTTTGCACTCATTGATTGATTGATCAAGTAATTGTCGACTCTTAGTGGCTACATAGATATTCTCCATGACAATCTGTCTCCAACCTGGTCTTTCAGGTCTTCCAATGGTGCACCTATCACCACTGTAACTGAGTCCATCCATCCTGCTTTGCACTCGTACAAAAATAATTTTAAAAAAATCTCTTACACCATGGTGCAGAATCCATTTTTCTGAGAATGTTGGCCTGTTTGTTTTTTTTTTAACCCCTGGCTGAAATTCTGTGGATGTCCCCAGTGCTAGAGGACAGACATTCTTTAAATGTATCCAACCTATTTTATTGCTGCTGCTGCTCACCCTGCTTATTTAACCTATATGCAGAGTACATCATGAAAAATGCCAGGCTGGATGAATCACAAGCCGGAATTAAGATTGCAGGGAGAAACACCAACAACCTCAGATATGCAGATGATACCACCCTAA